AGAATGGCTTGGCTTGGAAGGGATCTCAAGGATCATCAAATTGCAGGCTCCCCACCGTAGGCAGGACTGCCAACTGCTAGATCAAGTACTAGATCAGAATGCCCAGGGCAGTCTGGCCTTAAACACTTCCAGGGATGGGGCAACCACAACCTCTCTGGCCGTATACTAGAAAGAGCTATTGCTCTCTAATCCTACTGTGGATTGTTTTACTGTAAAGAAACTTGGCTTTGTGTCTGACAATCACTCTTGGAAGCAAAAGTTGACAGACACACAGGAGAGGGCTGTGTGTTTCCCCATCAATATGCCGTAGAACAGAAATCAGAAGCCATGGGGTGATTAACTGATTTGGTCCTACTTAGATTTTTCTTTTTTGAACAATGTGTGAGTTCTTAATCTTGTATTGCAGATTCTTATTCAGTCGGAAGTAGATGGTGTTATTTATTTTGTTTGGTCCTCAGATAGATTATTGTTATTAGACAGATATAGAATACAGTTTAATATTTTTTTATATTCTAAAATGAGTTGTTTGCTGCCTTGGAAAATGCACTCACTGAAAAACAAGAGTGACAGAACATTTCTATTTCGTCAAATTTTACTAATTTAACTGTTTGGTTCCACATCTTAGCAAAGCCTGTGGTAAGTAATGCAAGTTTGCAAACTGGAAACGGATTTTATTTTTTAATTTAAATGACTGACTCTGATAGTCCAGTCCTTCAGCTTCAACTTTTTGTTCCCGTTTTCTTGGTATTGGTACACAAAAAGAAAATGATATGGCAGCCATGTGAGCAGTTGCATCTTGTCCTTTTCTTCCTTAGAAATACTTGCCTCAGTTTTTCCTTTTTTTTGACTGATTTGCCTCTGCTGGGTTCTTCCTCTTGCAAGGTTCTTCCTCCTGCCCTGTTCTCTTTCCGCTCCTTCATCTCTGCCTCTCTGAAACTGTTCATGAGATGAGGAATCTGAATCTCCACATGAGGAGATTATATCCTTTCTGCTTCCAGCTAAATGGAGCCAAGGAGAAAAAAACTTCAGTTTCTGACTTAAGTGCCTTCTAATTATCTAAACCTAATGGGATGTACATTTATTAAAACTTTTCCCTTTGTTTCATTTCTAGGATGATGTTCAGTGCATGTTGAAGGTTTCCAGCAACTGATTCATTACCCCATCATACCTAAACTGAGTAGCATTCAGCACTGCTGTGTCAGTCGAGAGACCCTCATTGTAAAATTTAGGTCTTACCAATTCCTGCAAAGCACCAGAAGCACCAGATATCTGCTTTCTACTGGTGACATAAAGACACATAACCATGGTTAGAAAATATTTCAAGGATGCATTAGTGTTTCAGCATGTGATATTTATATATAGGTAATATTCTAAGTGACATCTTCACGGCTCTCCTAGAAATAAAATAATCAGTAGAAAGATGCCTCCTCTTTTTTTTTCAGTAGCACATTCGATATCTCAGCCATTTAACACAGTATTGAAAACATTTTCTTTCATGCTTTAAACCTAGATTTGATTTATATCTATTTTCTATGAACCAAGTTCAGTACAAACATGATAAAATTCTCACTAAAGGAAAGAAGCACCTGGTGTATAATGAACTAGCTTAGTAGGTGGATGGGAAACACTGCAGAAAGTTGACTCAGCAAGAAATCTTTCTGTAGATTTTCAAGGAAAGGTTTTTTGCTCTTGCATCTTTACAAACATCTCCGGATATACTACAACAGCCCTATATGTAGATGCACTTATCCTGGAATTGGTTGCTTTTTTATTCACTGAGGCAGGAGAAAAGATATTTTTCCCTAGAACACAGGAATGACATGAACAGCAATACCAGCTGAAATTCATGTCTGCTCTAATTCCATATATTGTATGCATACTGCAACATTTTTTTTCAAATGGAGAAATATTAGATTTATTTCCACATGCGACTCTCTTGTACCACTTGGCGTTGATGTATTATTAAGGAAAGCCCTGACTACCTATGACTGTGTTGCATATTCTGCAGGAATACATCTACTAGCCCCGATAACATGGCCATGTGATTTGCATAATATCTTTCTGCCTATCTAAATTCACATTTCTATTACAATTGTGCATGAGATTCCTAGTGTTTTTTCTCTGCTGTTAAACAGATGCTGCATTTCAGACTCGGTAAAATAGTTTTCTCTTTATATATATTTTTTTCCTTTACAGAACTGCTTTGGGATCTCTTTAGCTGAAAGATAGCATATAAATGCAAATCACCCTTGGCCACATAGCTCAGAATTACTTTTGCATTTTATTCTTGATCTGCTTCTGTATATAGAGCATTCCTGAAAGACAGTGAAATTAGATTTACTCATATGGGCTGACCTGCTTTGGGGTAAATAAACACATGATAGCCTTGTGATACATGAATATCATGATCTAATGAATGATCCTGGTGAAAAGTATCTCCTTTAATTAATTACTGATGAGACAATTTCATTTCATTTATAGCTTTAGAAAACAAACATAACAAAACATCCAAAAGTCTACATATATGTATGTCACACCTTCTCAAGTTTCTTTTTTCCCTAGTGTTATTAACATAGATGTATACATTTGCACCAGTAATTGCTCTTTGTTTGAATCCTTTTAAGCAAGTCTCCTTCAGTAATGACTATCACAAAATATATTCTGGCAGAATATGCAAAATTCTGCAAAAGATAAATCTGTTTATGTTACTTTGTAAAGAATAACTCAAGAACAGAAACTCTACCTGCATGCAAATTAGATTTAGAGCACTCCTTTGCAGATAGTTAAAGTCTTATCAGGCCAAGAGCAATCCATGAATGTGACTGTAGGGATGGAAGGTAAAGCGAGCAAGAGGTCTCTGATTTGCAGACAGTGCACATGTACCCAATGTAGGAAAATTCCCTCTATGGGATTGTCAATGGTTTGTTCACCATCCACAAGAATTGGTTGCCCCTGTTATGAAACTTTGGAAAAGCAGACAGAAAAAAATATGAGTAAAAATGAAACTCCAATTGAAAGAGCTAGAGCCAAGTGCTTACTGCATCACACCTTTCATTCACTTTCATTGAGTCGTGGCTAGCAAGTGTCACCTATGGTTTCAGATCCCACATATTCCTGGCACCGCCCACATGCCAGCAAGGGTTTTAGATGAATACTCTCCCATTTGCAGTCTGATCAGCATAGTGGCAAAGCATGGATAGTGCTGGTTTACTTGACAGGTTATGCAGCCATGCAGATTGGTACAGGTGGCTCACCTGAGTTCAGGAAAAGGGTAGATGTGAGGGACATGAGTAGTGGGCGTGGTGGTGATGGGTCAATGGCTGGACTAGATGATCTTAGCTGTATTTTCCAGCCTTAACTATTCTATGGTTCTGTGACTTCCATGGGAGACTGGAGAACTCACTGGGGGGCAGATGTTGCAGTGAAGAGCTATTTCGGTGAAGATTTAAAAGCAGTGCATGTAACTATGGCACAGCCAAGGACCACAGAAGGAACTGCAATTTATTCATGTGCCCCTGAAGGGGAAGAAAGCAAGCAGTAGTTGTGATGAGGAAGCACCACAGGACAGATGTACCAGCAAACCAGATCACTTCAAGGCTTGCCCAGCTGAAAATGAAGAGATAATGTAGAGAGGTAAAATGCAAACCAGCATGTAAATATCCATTTTATCACCCTTCATCTTGCGATAAATGTGTCTTGGCTTCCTCCATACCCACAGTTGCTCAAGGCTTTTTGTTTCATAGCTAAAGATAACTCTCCTGGTAGCATGATACAAAACAATGGTGATTGTTTGACTCCAGACTGGATATAAGGAAACAGTTATTTACAATAAGGGTAGTGAAGCACTCGCACATGTTGCCCAAAGAGGTGGTGGATGCCCATCCCTGGAGACATGCAAGATCAGGCTGGATGGGGCTCTGAGCGCCCTGATCTGCTGGAGGTGTTCATTGCAGGGGGTTTGCACTAGGTGGCCTTTGAGGAACCCTTTCAAATCAAATGATTTTACGGTTCTATGAAAAAGATCTCCAAAACTTGAGAAGCAGCCAATAACTTCTGTCCACACTCCCTAGATTGTGTAGCTGGCCATGGGTGACACTGTCCAGCAGACACGACGTGCTGTCACTGTGTCCTGCATGGCGCCTCGGCAGATGTGCTCCTTCCAGAGCCAATGTATGTAAACACTGATCTTATTGACTCTGACACCAGTGGACGCGACGTGACGCTGGAATAAAGCCACACCTGTGCCTCGCAGAAACCAGAGGGGAGAAAACACCAGCCAGCTCTGGAGGCAACGCTTTCTCCGCGGGACCTCATCCAGCTGGTTGTCTCCTTAACAACGCCGACCTCAAAGGGAACGCGGGAGCCTCTCCCCACCCCACCCGAGGATGTTTGCACACAAACCCCGCACGGCGGTGGCCGGGCTGCCTCGCTCCAGCCTCCAGGCACGAGGGCTGCCCTCCCGCGCCGCGTTCGCTAGGCAGGCGGCGGGCGCACCGGCAGCTCCTTGGGACCGCCCCGCAGCCCCTCAGGTGAAACCAGGGACGCTCCCGCCCCGCGTCGCTCCCTTCCCTCCCCTCCTAGCGAGGGGCAGCCACCGCGCAGGCGCCGCCCCGGCGGCCGGACCGAACGTCCCAGCGGTCGCGGCAGCCGCTGGCAGAGAGGCGCGGTGCGACGCGACGCTTCGTCCCGCCGTGCTGCGTCTTCGGAGCCGCGGCCGGCGGCGCGAGGAGTCGAGGCTGAGGCGAGGCTGAGGCGGCGGCGGGCCGAGGGCGAGCGGCCCCGGCCGCGACGCCACCGCTACAGGTGGTGCCCTCCGATCGCCCGCCTCAGCAGCTCCCCCTGCCCGCGGTCCGCGGCAGAAGGGGCGGCGGCGCGTCCCGCCCCCCGTGCCGCTGGCGGGCGGCGCTGCGGAGGGCGGAGCGGGCGGCGGGGGCGGGCCGGCCGGCGCCCGGCGCGGGCTGGCTCCCGGCGGGCGGCGCTGCTGCGTTGCTCCGGGAGGCGCCCGGGGCCGGGCGCGGAGCTGCGGGCTCGGGGGTGTGAGCGGCCGGGCTGGGCGCCCCCAGGATGCTGCGGTTCCTGCGCAGGACCTTTGGCCGGCGGTCGATGCAGCGCTACGGGCGAGGAGCGGGGCGCGGGGCCGGGCGAGGCGGGCTCGGCGGTGAGGGCGACGAGCGGGACGGTGGGCTGCGAGGAGCCGCCGCCGCCGCCGCCGCCGTCGTCTCCGGGGGCTTCCCCTCCTCGCCGCACCCCGGCGGGGTCGTGCACGGCGCCGGAGCCCCCGTCCACATCCCCGCCGCCGGCGGCAGCAAGCCGGTGCTGCAGTGCCGCGTGCTCCTCCTGGACGGGACCGAAGTCAGCGTGGAGCTGCCGGTGAGTAACGCGTTTCGCGCCCACCCCTCCGCATCTGCTCTCCCCGCTGGCGTCGCTTCCTTGCTCCCCTCTCGCCGCTCGCATACACCTGCTGCCAGGTGCGCCGCGCCTCCCGCCATGGCCGCGGCCCCTTCCTTCTTCCCCGGAGCGAGCGCGGAGAGCGGCACCTGCGCCTCCGCCTCCCGCCGCAGCTCCAGCCGGCGCTGCCCGGAGCCGCTCGGGGGGAGTTCGCTGCCGGGAGAGCCGCGCTGCCGCCCTCGCGTCCCCGGCCGCGGCCGCGCATCGGCGGTCTCGCCGCTCCCAACCTGTGGAGCCGATGCGGGGGTGCCGTTGGGCCGTCGGTGCGGGGCCGCCTCCGAACTTTCCGCTCTGCCGCGTTCCGGAGCGCGGTGGGTCGCGCCCGTGTGCCGCTTCTGGGGGCGTTTCGGCGTCGCCGGAGCCCGGTTGGTGCCCTCCCGGCTCACCGCCACAGAGCTGCGCGGCGAACGCCGTTCGGTTGCGGAGTTTGGGTTCTGGCAGGTGGCCGTTCCCGCGGCCGCTGAGTGCCTGGCGTCCGTCCCTTTCTGCTGCCCCTTTCGCTCCCCCGTGAGAACCGAGCTTTCCTGCGTGGTAGTGCTACAGTTTATCGTATTGGCAAAACATTTAAACTTGTTTCGAAACTGAAGAATCGGCAGCCGTTAAGCCTGACCTACAAAAGCAGGTGGGAGAACTTGGTCGCAGCGTAACAACCTGATCAATCTCATGTTACTTTTAGAATCATAGAACGTCCCGAGTTGGAAGGGCCCTGTAAGGATTGAGTCCAACTCTTTTTAGTCTCCACTGGTGTGAAAGACGTTTGGTTTTTGTTTCAGAATACTTGAATTTTGTTGGGTGCCGTTCATGCTAATAATCACCTGTGTATGCTGGCATGATTTAACTAAAATATGGAAATTGATCCAACTGGTTTCTGTTTAAAAGAAACCGAAGTGATGGAGTCCTGCCCTGATAGGGGAGTGTGGAATGGGGCCACCTAGAGATGCTGCTTCACGCTCAGCCGGCTCCTTTCCTCACAGAGCAGATCACACACCTCTAGGCACTGGCAATGCTGATGCCTTTCCTTTCTTCACATCTCTCCTTCACAACTTGCTGCAGTCCTACTAGCATCTCAGCACAAGGCTAGTCTAGAAAGAACTTGGTGTTATCTGCATGCTGAGTATATGCTTATAGACCTCTATGTAGATAAGCTCAGTAAATATTTCATGTATTATACTCCCTCCAACTTATCAGAGTTCAGCCATTCCTATAGAACCTGTTTAAGATAGTCTGTAGGTTTAAAATAGCAGGTAATGGTAAACCTTCAATAGTCCTTGAGTATTGGGAACATGTGGAAGTGTACTAGCTCGGTCCATTAAAGAAGCTGTAGAGCATACTTGCTTGTGTTGTGATGTCCAAGCCAAGCCTAGGCTGTCAGTGGTGGCACAAGATGCACGCCTGGTGGTTGTAGTTCCTTTATCCAGTGAGGGGATAAGAAGTCAGTGTGCTTTGGGGACATTTCTAGGTTGCTGGAGGATGTTGGGGTGCAAAACAGCTATCAGTGCCTTCCGGATTAGAAAGGGTGCTGTTGAATTGCATCTCTGCTCCTCATGCTGCTTTCCTTTCTTTCACAGAAAGTAACACCCACATGGAGAGTCAGAAAAACTGAAAGAGGCGTTGCACCATTTATAGAATTTGATTAGGAATGTTTCTCTGAGCTTTGGAACGCCGGTTTTTATGGGATTAGGACCTGAGACAGAATGCACTTTGATATTCAGGAGCTGTTGTACTGTAGTTGTTAAGCTAAATGAGCTGGGCACTATTTTGATAAAATTAGAAATGAAGAAATCACTGTATGGTTGTTTCTCAACATTTCAGCTTAGTTTTGGGTTTTTTTTGTTTTTTGTTTTTTTTTTTTTAGCGAGGGAATGAGTGTGGTCCCTGCTCTAGCAGTGAGACAGCTTACACTAGAAGCCTAGAATGTCGGTAATTGCTAAGGACTTTGTGCTGCTGATCACGCTCACAAGCACTTATTTCAGGAGATACTGGCATCTGGAAAATGTGCTCTTTCTACTGCCTGCGAACATTAAAAGCCAGCTGTCTTTCCAGGGGTAAAAGGAACACGTTGGCATTAGGGCACAATAATTTCATAACTAACGCTTCTTAGACTGCTACCTGAAACTTAATTGGAATTGATTTCAAGGCTTGTTAGATATTAATTAAACAGACTGCAGGGTCTGTGTGTTTGTGTGGAGGAATGACAGGCTGCTTGAAACCTTCAGCTGCGCGTGCAGAAAAAAAAAGTTCAGTTGTTTTGCTTGGTTGGTTTGTTTAATACTCATTAAAACTAAAACCCTGACTCTTTTGTCTAGGTTAAATGCATCAAGCTCTTCCTCAGTGTTTTCTCTTATGTGGGGGCTGATGGTATTGCTGGAAAAACAAATGGCACATCAGTAGGCTGATACCATCTTTGAGGCTATCAGCGTTTATGCCATATGTTAGAAGTGGTAGAGTTGGTAAGGTTTTGTCATGCTCCCACCTGAGTCCGTCCTTAGCTCATTCTTCTGGAGGCTGCATGGAAGTATTGTGACCAGAGTCACCTTTCTTGTTTATCTGCATTTCCCCTCCCATTTTCTCATGGGATATTTGCACTTTATTCTTTCACACTATATATGCACAGGGCCTCCTCTGCCCTCAAAGTTCCCCCTTTGCCTTTCACTTGTAGGTGCTCTCTGGCTTTCCTGAACTTGTTTTCTCCCCATACAGTGTCAACATAAAATTATTCTGAACTGTAGAGACCCTTGGATAATGATTTCTGTACTCAGCTTCTTGCACAGAATTTCAAGGATTGCTTAATGGTGGTGGCTTCTTGGTTGCTCTTAAGGCAAAACTTAGAGTACTTTGAAAGTATTCTTTCTTAACAGAATAATGCACTGGATGGATTTTTAAACCCACAAGCTCCTGAGGGCCCTGTGCTGAATCTGAGGCGCTCTTGAGATTGCCTCTGGGAGTGGCTGTATGGGAGTTGCAGTTTGCCCATTGTGTTGCTTTGGGGTGACTTTCCATGACAGGGGGAGTATAAAGAAGGTATCATCACTTCCAACTGACCTGACGCCACGCCTGCGCACGTCTGAAATCTGGTTATAAGGATTGATGCAAAAAAACCAAACCAAATCAAAAACAAAAAAAAGGAATATACTTAGAAGTAAACATGCAGTGAAAAATGCAAGAGGAAGCTGTTACGTGTTTGGATCTTGCGTCTCAGCTGTGGGTAGGTGGAAGGCCACTTGCTCACTGCTGTCAACACAATCCTTCCTCTGTTTTCTGGAGGACTCAGGAGTTTAATGAAAGAAACTGGTTATAGGTGATGCTGTGTTCTTACATAAAGAATACAGGCAAGGAGCATTGACATTTACACAGCAACGATGATGCCTGCTAGTTAATACGTAAATGGGAAGGTTTGTAGATAGCTTTAAGGTGAGGCCAAAAAAATCCCAAATTTTTGTTGACGTGGATGTTGGCATTTCTAAAAACCGAGTATCTGATTTTTTATTCAGTGCATTTTATGAAAGCTTAAAGAAAGACTCAGAAAGATGACTTCTCCGTGAGGTGGTGCGGAGTAGCAGGGATTGATGTTCTTTTTTTAGTGCCACTGAAAACGGTGTTCTGTGATAAGGCTTGGGGACAATGGGGGCTGTACAAAACAAACATTTTTGTTTGTTTGTTTATTTGTTTAACCTAAGTGGGATGAGAGAGAGGGAACGAATAGTAAGCTTACTCTGCTGTGGAAATCCCCATCTTGCAAAGCAGACATAGGAAACCATATGTTTTCAGTGCCACGGAGCCACAGCAGTTGAAGCACTGTCTGTCATAATACTCATTGCTGTGGCAAATTTCTCTGCTGCCATGGACATCGTTACAAAGACCTATGTGATATATTAGGTTGTAGGTGACACTTAATGATTAAGTTAATGAACAAGTTTTATGTATCTCTTGATATCTATGGATTGCTTTCAGGCAGAGAGCTTTCATATTGTTTCTTTGCCTTCCTTTTGGTGTATCTGTTTTGATAATTGTTTCGGCTGCTATGGAAACACTTCAGGATAGGGATAGTAAATGTTCTTCCGTAGCCTTTTTTAATCTGCCTAATCTTCTGTCTTTTGTATCCTCCTCTTTTTAGAGTTGGATGAGCATAACAAAACCTATTCGCTGGCCTCTGTGCTTAAATAAAATGTACATGTTAAATTAACTCTTGAGTAGTCATCTCAATATTAAAGTTAGAAGTATGTTTGACTAGAAAAAAGCGATAAATATTTGTAGAGGGGTATCACTCAACATTTCATTTACATAACACGTGATTTCCTAATGACATTTCAGGAATAAAAACTGCGGGCACTGAATTTAAGGTATTCTCAGGTGTCTCCTAACTGAAGACTTACTCTCCACTCAAATATATATTTAATGTCAGGTGTGGAACAGACATTTTAGAATGAATTCTTTAAAGCTTTTCTCACATGCGAAATTGATAATATAGTTCTTTATTTAGAAGGTACCTTTCAACAGTCTAAAATCAGAGTGCTTCAAATGTTGAAAGCATGTTTTCAGGCCCGCAAGAGCTGCCTTGTGTGCATGAACTACTGTGGCAACCACCTCCTGTACTCCCCTTCATAAAGTGATCAAGTTCTCCTTGTAGAAATGCTTGGGTATTTTCCTTCTGTCACTTTTGTTGAAATGCTTTTTCATTACCGTAAAGCTCTGATGAAGTAACAGTACCCAGAGCTTGATGTGTTATCTTCTGGCAGTAGCCTTTAATTACCTTGTGTGTGTATCACACGCTTCAATGCATTGCTGTGTCTGCTGAAAGTGTGTGGAAAAATATTCATAGTAGGCATTTTTACTAACAGCCAGGGACCTGTGCAGCCCCAGAGGAGCAGGAAAGAGAGGTGGGTGTACATGTGGGACTGCAGCTGTGCCTCAGACTTGCATGA